AAAAAGTATATAAAATATTCTATATTATCCTTGAAAAATGTTTGAAGCCACTCTCTAAACTATTTTTTTAAGGAAAACATGTCTAAAAATATTTAAATTTAACCTGCATATATGTGTATATATCCTCAATGTATATATAGCTCCTTAATCTTTGTCCAAATAATGTTTAAAATATCTCCAATATTATAAATGTTAATAATATTTGAAAAAATAATAGTATTTAGATAGGTGAAAATTAACTTTTTAAAAAAATTTTGACTGTAGATCAAGATTTATATTGGCAATTAGACTTTAGATTTAATTATCTTTTTAAGAAAAAAAAAAATCTGTTATTACCATGAGATTTTTTACGATGGGATTTTGTAAGATTACCGTCAGATATTTATGCGATGAGATTCTGTAAGATTACAGTCGGATCTTTAATGGTGTATGAAACCAAAGCCAATATTTTAGGCTTTTCAATTAATGATATTAATTTAAAAGAAAGTTCAAAGATATACTATGGGATTTTGTAAGATTACAATTAGATCATTAATGGTGTATGGAACCAAAAGCAAATATTTTAGGCTTTTCAATTAATGATATTAATTTAAAAGAAAGTTAAAAAAAATGTCCAACACATCTAATGTTGAAAGCGTGATTTGAGGAAACAAAGAAATAATTTTCTAGTAGTAGAAAGTAATTAATGATAACATAGTTTGACTAAAAATTTGACTTTCCATTTTTTAAAAAAGCTTATTCTTTTTATATAAGTATAGATGTGTGAAATATAAAATAATATATCTCTGTATGGGGTGGATCCAATGAGATCACTCCTTAAAATGAGCATGTGAGACTCAATTCTAGCCACCCATTTTGTCTAGATCAAAATCAATTATAATATACATTAATTAAATAATAAAATAATTATTAGTTGACTCCGGCGTTGACCGTTGACTCTTAGCGTTGACCGTTGACTTCTGGCAAAAATTGTTGACTTCCGGCGTTGACTGTTGACTTCCACGTTGACCTGTTGCCCCTTGTATGCAGTATGTATGGAGTAAATATGCATCCAATACCATGCATTTAATATGAACTAAATATGCATGTGGTATGAATTACACATACAGTCCTTATGAACTAAATATGCACAAATAATATCAACTAAGTATGCACCTGTTATTAACTAAATATGCATCTGTTATCTGTTATGAACTGAATATGTATCATGAATGAACTAAATATGCAGCGAAAATATGCAATAAAATGAACATTTTATATAGGTAATTTATGATGCATATTTAGTTAATTTATAATGCATATTTAGGTAATTTATGAAGCATATTTAGTTAATACGAAATGCATACTTGTTATATTTAAATTAAATATATAATGATGCGTATATAGTTAATTTATGATGCATATTTAGTTAGTTCATGATACATATTTAGTTCTTACGAAATGCATATTTAGTTCATGAACAATGCATACCTAGTTTATTTGAGATCCAATCATAACAATTTTTTTGTGTAGATCAATAACTTATAGTAATTAATTTAAAATTAAAATTAATTATATAATAAAAATCATTAATTATTATATTTAATTTATTGTATAAAATGTATATTTTATTGCATATTTCCGTTGGATATTTAGTTCATTCATGATGCATATTTCGTTAGTAAAATGTGCATATTTAGTACACAAACAGTGGATATATAGTTGATATTATTGGTGCATATTTAGTTCATAAGGATGACATGTATAATTCATATCTTATGCATATTTAGTTCATATTAAGTGCGTTGTACTGTATGCATATTTATTTCATACATAATGCATACTAGGGGTCAACGGGTCAACGCCAGAAGTCAACGGTCAATGTCGAAAGTCAACGATGGAAGTCAACGGTCAACGCGAGAGTCAATGGTCAATTGTCAAAATAATATTTAAATAATTAAAATAATAAAAATAAAGAATTAATATTTAAATGAAGAGTTAAATTTTGGCCACACATCATGTATCAATCTAGTGGCTAAGAATGAGTCTCACACACACTTTTAATAAGTGTTCTCATTGGATCAAATCTCTCTCTCTCTCTCTCT